TTCATCAGCATAACAAATACTAGTTTGCATTGTATCCACTAACTGTTGGTGCGAAGAAAAACGTCTGTCAAAGCTTCAAGTGCTGGGAAGTCACGTAAATATCAAGGTTATTAAGATGGAAAGTGAAAATTAAAATTAAGCAGAAGTGAGAGGCGGCGACTTTTGACATTTGCTCTGATCAAACCGTCTCCTAATTTCAGCCAAGTGCACAGTTACTAATGAGCAGTGGAGTGATGCATATGTAATCTGCGTATGTGTGTGTGCGAGGCAGGAGCACTGATTGATTATCTCCTGCTAATTTCCCTTTTTCCCATTTTCGCCTCCTTTTCAAAAATTTGAAATGAAATTTAGAAGTTAAATAAAAGTTTGCTAACATTTTCCTATCGATAATCCCACAAATTTATCAATAACATACTGAAAGTGAAATGAAATGGTGTACTATAAGCAAAAAATATCAAATGTGAGTCCATTAACCATTAACTTGTCAAAGATTCCCGCCAATATTTGCTCACTTTTACCGCATTTGAACAATCAAATGTGAATCCATCAACCACTAACTTTTTCCTCTTACTATGATGGGTTTGTATCACTAACAATGCTTTAAGCTTTCAAGCTAAGCACCACAGCTTAAACTCTATATGACTTATGCAATCACAGTATTATCCTCTTATCACGATTTACCGAAACCACTACTAAAATTGTCATTACTAAAAAAATTCGAGTGAAAGTATTCAGGAAATTTTTTTTCCCCAGAAACAGTACAAAAATTTCGCTTTTAAGTGATAACCTTTATTTCGGTTCTATAGCTTATTACATTTTGTAGCTCAAAAAAGAGTTAGATTGGAACAGTTTATTATTTCTTTCTTCAGTGCATTAAATATTTATTTAGATTACATGCACAGAGAATAACTTCAAGACTTAAACAAGTTACTGGAGCTGATCTAATGGTATCAGTGAATCCAAAATTGAAATGTGGATGGGTGAGAACAAACAAAAAAAGACTTACAGCTCTTCCATAGTATATATACCGAATGAAGAAGCAAAAATGTTGTTGTCTATATGATTTAAATTTTGACCTGGACAAAATTCTGTTTATGTTGAATTTATACAAGAATAAATAATCAAAGCAATATAAAAACAAGAAATTTGCAAAATGTTCTAATCATTTTATTGAAAATCTGAGTCTAGAAATGACTAAATTTTTTTCATTGCTTATTTGCTGCCACAAAGTTCATTCAAATTGTGTACACTGTCCTAAAGTGAACAGTTAGAGTAATCTTATCACTCGCACACTTGAGGTCACAAGATTTGATTTAAAATCGGCCAACTTTGCGTGAAAACAGACGTGAAGCGTTTTGTAAGATATAATTTGAAAATAATGGAAAATTAAAATGCATGATAAAATGGCTCCTAGCACTTGCCTCATATTTGAACATAGTGGAGACATCAAAGGAAAATTCTGAAAATTCGGTCAGTTATCAAAGAAGAAAGTGGAAAATAACTCCTGCCGATGAGTGGGAAAGAAAAATTATTATGGGTAATTAGTTAGTTGCCTTTTATTGTCAAAAACTCCACTTGAAAACGTGAACTATCAAGTCAAAGTTACCTGAGATCTCAAAGCAAACACGTTGAAATCTATATGAAAATAAGTTGCAATCTACATGAAAATAAGTAGTAAAAATAATTTGTTGTGAAAATTTAGGAGAATGCAAAGAACAATATTATATGAAAGAGGATTCCGAAAAGCAAGGTATGGAAGTGATAGTTCACATCTGTCATGTAAAATTAATGTACGGAAAGGCGTGTAGACCAGAGATTTCAATTTTCATATACACATATTTATTTCTGAAATGAATTCAAGCGTACGAAAATTTCAGGAAGTTTATCAGTTTTCCTTCTACTTTAAATGTAATTACGCACCTTTTTATATCACAATTTAGTGAAATAAATATCAAAAATAAGATAAAGGTTTACATACTTGAACGTGTTCTGCAAATTGCAAAAACAGTGACACTATCTATGAATGTTTGAAATTGGCCTTCCCTCCAACGAATAGTGACCATTTAACAACTCGCACTCACCAGAAATGAAAGTAATCTAAGCAAAACATATACTACTGCATCTTTTTTTGTGAACGTAAGTCAACATTGTCCCGCTTAAAACGTGAATATCACGCACAAGTACTTGACACTGACCAACAGAAGCGCAAAACTTCCTAACTCGGGAATTGAATAAATGAGGATAGATAGAAAGAAGGGGCCATACCCGAAGGCCGTCTTTGTCTCTTTTTTGATGACAGGATGGAGAGGCACAAAGAGGAAGGGGTGGGACCGAAAAAGAGAGCCTCTGTGTCAGGGTCAAAGGTCGATTCTAGTTGTTAAACAGGTATTGACATAGGTCAGAAGCTTAATTAATCTTCATGTATAACCAATCATTCTGACGTTCTGCTCAGAGCAGCAGATGATGAACACCGTGAATTACGTGAAATTATTACGTAATTTTATGAAGTTATTAAAGCTTTGACATGTGCTTTCAATTTATTATATATTATTCTTACTCTTCTGAGTTTCACAAGATAAAAATTTTGTGAAAAGTCGTTAATAGTGCTCTATATTGTTTTAGAAGCTATACGCCGTTACAGTCATTTCAAATTATGTGTTATTAATACCACTTAAAATAAATAACTGATGATAAACAGTAACAAAACATACTGCTCAAGGTAATCTAAAACTTGAATTTATAAATTAGGCATCGAAACAACAAAAAAATCATAATTAACCGAGAGGAATGCGGAATAATACAATATTTAATTCCGCACGAAGATTTAAGATTTACATTTCAGATAATCTTTCACTTCTCACTTATTTAAAATTGATTAAAAAGTTAGCACAAGTATGGAGTTCCCTAGTTTGAAAAGTCTTTAGATGTCATTGATTGTTTGAAAAATTATGCGAGAAAAGTAAGAATCACTTTTGATTTCAAAAGAAACCAAACATCTAAGAAGTCTTATTGCAATTAATCAGTTAATAAACATAAGGATGTAAGTTTCTGATATACTATTATGAACTGAATGAATGACTGAAAATCAGTGAAATTTTTTCAGGAGTTCTAAAAAGCTTTGATTTCTGAAATGCTATACTCCTATAGAAGATCAAACACCAGTGATCATCCAGAATTAAAGAATTAAATCAACAGCATGAATGCGATAAATGCAGTACAAAGAAAAAATAGCTGCAATTATCCATTGCTTTTCCAAAAATCCAACTTTAATACTATGCAATCAGTATTTTACTGATTTCTATTTTTTGAGCAACGATAACGCACTTTTTTTAAAGAGCGAAAACTGTATGAAAAGAAAAAATCCCATTTGACCTCGTCAAAAGAGTATTTTTGGAAGGTTAAAATTGTATTGATCTCTGATGAACAAGTTCATTCAAAAATCTCTCACAGCATCCATCACAACAGCGAGCAGTACGTAACTTTTCAAAGCATTAAGAGATGCCTAAAGCAAACAAAATTATGAACAAAAATTATAATTATACATAGTGTGCTAGAAATAATTATTGTCATTTTTCGCCATAAAAATTGGTCAAAAGAAACAAGTTAGAACTACTAAAAGATAATAAGCGACTGTGGATATTTTAACACGCAAAGAGTTTACTTACACAAAGTTGCAAACTTTCCAAAAAATATTAACCCTTCTTACGGAAGTATCGTGCTTTGAAAAATTTGTTTAACCTTTCACTTTTCATTTTGCTTGAAACGGCGAAAAAATACCAGAAAGTCATTTTTCAATCAATAAATTCGTTTCTGTCCATTTATCGAGAATTTATTGCAATAAAATTGAGC